AAAAAATGTGCGGATTATTCGCTTACTTGCTTCGACTTCTTTTGGGCAGGAGGTCTTTAGTAAAGTAGGGCTATTTTTTTAAACCAAAAATATAGTTTCAATAAGGTTTCCTATATTAGCCAAGTCAGCCAGCGCGCATATAGGCTACATGTCACAAAATTACTTTCGCCATCGAAATAACAATTTCTATTACAATAATTTTCGTGCGCTACTACGATAAAGCATGACAAGTACTGTCGTTATTTATAGATTTGCACATCACAAATATTTCCTAAAAGGTTTTGTGGTTTATCAAAAAAGACTTTTAGGTAAAGTATAACTAACTGTGCTAGTGATAGCCTACCAAATAATTTGTTTTCTGAGGCCTGCCTGAAGCTTCCTTCGTATTTTCGTGTAATAATCTCGAAAATGTTTAACAGTGCTTTGCTTTTTTTTTTTTTAAGTTTCCCCTGAAAGTCATAAAAGTAGCCTATTATTCTCATACTAATCCTTGCATCTAGTTGGACATTTATGTGCAGTTTGGTCCCTATGACTTGCAAATGGATTCCAAAAATCAAGATGCAAAAGGAAAAGTAAACTTACCTACAGGTAGGTGGAAAATTGAGTCTAGATTTTTAGTTTACTGATTTAGCTTGGACGGCCTTGGAGGTTTGGTTTAGTGAGTTTAATGTCCATCTTTTAAATTTTTTTTGTTTGTGGTTTTAATGGTGACAGAGCTTTACTTTGGATATATATGGAGTAAATTTTTTTTTCAGAATCAAAAGTAAACTTGCAATGTGATTGCAGTTCTCAGACACATGGCTTTGTATTATACGGAAAGCACTATTGATAGCTTGGCCTTCACAATTAAGAGACTTCTTCATCCAGGAGGATAAACTTTTTTGTATGCTGTATGTATTTTTTTTTATGAATTGATCCTAGCGCTTAACTTATGGAATTAATTTTCCTCTTGGCTCTACGGACACCATTCCCTGGATCAGTTTTCTTGTTAGTTTTCTCTTATTTGCAGAACATTCATTCATAAAAATGAGCAATGACCCATGAGATAATTGCTCTCCATATGTTAATTAATGAGGCTCTCCCCAGTCAAATGATGGCTGGGACTCTGGTCCTCTGTCATGGCATCCTGCCTGGCAGATAGGCAAGCAGACAGACAGATAGATGGACAGTTCACCACACACAGCCACCCTCATGCAATTATTAACTTCCCTGCTAGTCTGGCAGAGTGAGTGAAATGAGCTTAAATTAGACTACATGATGCTGATGGTGCTTCCAGATGTTATCACAACACAACATTGGTGTTTCTTAGCACTCACTGAGAGAGAGGCATGACAATGCGGCATATGTTTGTGGTGTTGGTCACTATCTGCTCTATTGACACACAGATGGGTTGGCTGACAGTTGTAGTGTGAACCGAGGCCATTATGAAACACTCCTGCAGAGTATTGTTGTGAGGAGCTTACATCACACCTTAGCAAGTAAACAGTGGCACCTGCACATGTTATCAACTCATCTACACCTCAGATGCTGAGATACACACCATATGAGACCTGCAATCATAGTTAGATTAATTGTAAACTGATTTCAAAAGTTCAGCTTCTCTATATTTTATTAATCTGGCCAATATGCTTGCTGTAAAATCAATAGAGAATGGACGTCACAGCGCGATGCATTGTGGGATTTTAGTACACGGGAGCTACAGTAGAGACTTAGTAATAAATGTAGACATTTTTTTATTATTTTATGTTTATATTATTCAACTTTAGATTGTGTTGGAATGGTTAACGCTTAGTGTATTATATCAATTACCATAACTCTTCTCACGACCGGCATGGAAAATGCATGCATTTTTCCACTCGAGAAAGCTGTAAAAAGCACATGTATTCCAAGTTGGCAACACTGGGTGGGCACATCTGTGTAACTCAGCGGCAGATTTGAATCCGGGTTGGAAGAAAGTATTTCCACATACGAGGGTTTTGTAAAAGACACTCTGTGGTTGTTTCTAATTTATTTGTACACTTGTGCCATATAACTGTTGTATATAAGCAGTATCATAGGAAAACAAGTGCGATATGGCTCTATATCAGCACAGCTGTGATTTGGCCGTAGGCACAAGGCCACATTGCTGATATAGATCTATATCATAATCCTGCTTGTGTGATATTGCCCATATAATAACTTGAATAATGATAATAAAAATAATATTGCTGCTCTTTTTTAACCCAAAGGAAGGCTTTTTAACACCGCTGTATATTTTTGTGGTCTGCATAACTTTTTATAATTAATGTAGCACATCTTGAAAACTCTCTTCATAAAAAGATGCCTCAGTGTGTGTTATTCATGGAAGAACAGTTTATCCATTAAGCAGATCACTGTTGAGCAACCAGTGGGAAATGGGAACCATTTTGGTTTATTATTTTTTTGTTTGTCTTGATCACTCATACGCCTATTTTAAATTATCTCTTACTTGCAAATTTGACCTTGTTTTTTCAATAGAAATGTCTTACAAAATTATTGTGATATGAAAACTGCTTACATTCACATTTTCCAAAAATCTGTATCTCACTCAGCCATTTACAAAGTAATTAAACTTTGCTCCCAAGTTAATTGCCAGCTATTTTTAGGAAGTTTGATTGCACCCAGTCTCAGCCTGGACTTGCAACATAAAGAAAGTACTTTTTGTCCCTCAGATCCTGAAGATGCAGCAAATAGCCCAATAGCCTCAGCTGAGGTCTATCAGCAACCACACAGACATTTTGTCCTGGGTATTTTGGAACACCTTCTAACCGTGGTGGCGTTTAAGGAGGAAGTAGAACGTCTGGATTTCTCTGATTATTCCACAATAAGCAGTCTCGTCCTTGCTAATGTGTGAGCTTAAATGGTCGAAGTTCAGCCTTATGTTCAGTAAGAGATTTAACAGTCTGAAAAGAGTTTTAAGATCCGCCTTTCTAGCAGAACTTTCAAAGACCCAAAGACCGTTCAGAAGGGACCAGTATTTCATGCTGACTCCAAAAAACAGAAATGCGAATGTCTGCATTTAAACAAATTTGGGCCCGGCGAACTTTTGTTTTCTCTACTTGACATTCAAAGAAAATCAAAGAAGGTTATGCCCGCAACACCAACACAGTCAAAACTCCTGATTAAGTAAAAATCCATTTTATTGATATGAATACTCATTATAAGATGGTGCTAATTAGAGGAATGACTTTTTGACCCTCAGAGTTACATCTTAGAGGAGCAAAAATGAAAGTTTTTGTCAGTAAATGAGTAATTCAAAATATTTTGCCCCAAGGTGGTATTTTTACTGAGACATGAATAAAGCAACACCTGCATATAAACCACTCATCTACAGTTTAAATATTGAGATACCAAATAATATAAATGAGATTTGCTGTTTTACTGGAAATTGATTTAAAACATTCAAGTCCACCAGTGTTTAACATGATCACCAATGCTTCTTCTCAAAAGTCTATCAAACAGATAATGCACTGATTTATCATTTCATTCTGCTAATTTGAACATTAGTCTTTAATATTTAGATTTTGATTAATTTCTTATTAACATAAGGAATCTGTCAAAATAGATGTATAATAGTATGAATAAACTGATCAGTTACTTCTAATTCGTTTTATTATTCTTATTATTAGTAGTTTGGTTCATGATGCATTGAAAATGATCAATCTATGTCCATACGCTCATGATAATGGAAAACTCAATGGTGCAATAACAAATGGGGATAAGAATGGTTATGTGAAAATGCTAAATACATAAGTCGTAAACACCTATGAAAACGTTTGGAATGGATACTGGAATGGATCATTTACTCACACATTTTTGAATCCATACAACGAAAGTCAAAGGGGTCCAGTGTTGTTTTGGACCCCAATGACTTTCATTTTATGGACAAAAAACAGTTGAAAAATTCTTCAAAATATCATCTTTTGTTTTCTGCTGAATAAAAGAATATCAAATATTTATTTTATATATAGGTATAGGTGTAGTTACTGCATCTAACAGCAGGGGTTAACTGTTGACGCTATAACCAGCTAAATATTGTTACATATTGTTACGTAATACATTTGATGATCTTGTCACATATGCAAAATTTATCACCACTAGCTATTTTTTGCAGTGCCTTTTTAAAAATATGCAGAAAAACAGATCATGTCCTGGCAAAAAATTACCAGTACCTTTTCCGTTGTTGCATTATACAGCATACAGACATTTTCTTAAAGTCTGGCCTTCCTGTAGCAAAAGCAATCGAGCATGGCTAACAACACCAAGATTATGGGTTTCATTTCCAGGAAAAGCAAGAACTGATTGAAAAAAAGGTGTACTTCGAATAAAGTTTAAGTAATTTTGGATAAAATGGATAAAAGCATAGATGTAAATGTAAACCTTAAAACACAACACAATTTTTAAGCTGTCAAATGTTTTAAAACTCATCTCATCATTTCAAGGGAGATTTATTTACAATGTAAATAAAAGGTACAGTGAGGTCTGACATTGGAAATGTTCAACCAACCAGATAAAAAAAAGGCTAACCATAACATGGAGCCTTTAAAGGGTTAGTTCGCCCAAAAATGAAAATTAGCCCATAAATTACTCGCCCTCAAGTCATCCCAGGTGTATATGACTTTCTTCTTTCAAACGAATCTAGTCGGAGTTATATTAAAAATTGTCTTTGATCTTTCAAGCGTCATCTGCCCGGAGCTGCTTCCGTGTACAACTGTTGGCGCAAGCTACATTAAAATGATTATTACGTTTTGAATATGTATATTTTTCTTACAAAAACGCATCGATTCGCTACAGGAGGCCTTTGTTCACCCCCCGGAGCCGTGTGAGACACTTTTTTTTATGGATGGGCGCTTTTATTTAACTTCTTTTGGACTGATGCATGCAACACCCGCTGAGTGGCATTAAACAGCTTGAAAGATCAAAGACAATTTTTAATATATCTCCGACTAGATTTGTCTGATAGAAGAAAGTCATATACACATAGAATGACTTGACTAGAATGACTTGAGGGTGAGTAATTTATGGGCTAATTTTCATTTTTGGGCGAGCTAGCCCTTTAATATCTGTAGTATACATTCACATGACTTCCACAGTGCCCTTAATTCAACTGGTTTGATTGAACCTACATGGCATTTGAGTAGATACAGTTGCTGTTGTTGATGGTGTCCACTTGGTGAGAGCGAGCGATGAAGGTTACGAGCACATTCTGGAGCATCTCAGCTCTCATTTTGCTGATCTGCAGCACCTCCTCGTGATTCACTTTCTCCTCGCGGCTGTAGTCCAGAGAAACCTTGTTGGTGATGAGCGAGAGACCCAGGACCCGCAGTCCGCAATGCTTGGCTACCGTCACCTCAGGAACCGTGCTCATGCCTGCGAGGGCAGCAGGAGGAAAAGAGAAAGAGAGAAAGACTCTTAATTAAATGGCAGTCATCTCTGTTATGGCACAGTAGGTGATTAATTTAATAAAGCAGACCGGGTCTGGGTCTCACATAATGCTTAATGAGGACTATTGTGGTCTTGTTGGATACACAGGAAGAAGGACTCACAGCAACTGAAATGGGCCAGTCACTGACCAGTCTAGCCAGGGCAGCCCACTTAGCACATACCCCACGGTGCTGACGTTTGGTAATCGAAGCCCAATTATCTAAGACATCATTCAGCTCATCAGAGGGCCTGCAGTGAGTATAGTTTATGCCAATCATATGGTCAAGAGAGTTATTCAGATCACTGATTAACCTAATCACATTGATTGAAGTGGGCTACTTTGGCCCTTTAGGTGGGCATAATCTCCATTAGTTAACATTGCAGGTCCCCTCTGCTAATATGGCACATCATTATTAACCAGCTATAATTTTCATGAAAGACCAATTAAAGGAGAGGCACTACACAGATAAGAAAATAGCAAGTTAAATTCTCCAACTCCTCAGAGAGAGGACATCTGATGCAGCAATGAGGAACTCGCTATACACTGCTGTTATTTATTTATTGTATATACTACTATTATACTATAGAATTTATTGATTTTGAATCAGCTGTTTTTTATATTTTCAGTTTTAGTTTCTGTGATTTTCTTTTGTTCTTTTGTCATTTTATTACTTAATTTCTTTATTTACTTATTTCAGTTATTGCATTATTAGGCACATTATCTAATTTTTTTTTTCTATTTTTTTTCATCTAATATATATATATATATATATACACTGTATTATTATTATATATATATTTTTTTATTATTCTTAGTAAAATGTTAGTTTAGATAACAAAAACAACACAGCATCACGCTGCAGCGGAAGTGGTTCAGTGTATTTATTTCAGTCTGTTGTATCCAGTCAAATCATCAAATTAAAACTATTAACACACAATCCTGTTCAAGTAATATTAAAACTGGCTAAATTAGCATGTCCATAAGCACCTTTAGTTATTGTCTAATTGGGCCTGAGTTACAGTAGTAATCTTTATGTAGAATGAGTTCCCATACTTGTTTTTATTTTTAATATAAAAAGTAAAGGTAAAATTTGCAAATCTGTTCCAGTGGATGTTTAATAAGAGCAGAATCTCTATCTCCTTTTTTAAAACTATTTCACTAAATTGACTAAATTTACCTTAAAGTAGTCATGCAAGAACAGGACTTATCAACACAATGTAATCTGAATATGAAAACGTATGAAGAGTATGAATTCACTTTTTTTTTCATGTAACCACATGGATGTACAGTGCACTTGGGCTTGTTTCGATATTTTTGAAAGAAAATCCGTTTCAAAGCACTAACAAAAAATCATACCAAGGGAAAAAATGGTCATATCATTTTGATAATTTGTTAAACTGTTGATTACTCATGAGGATTAATCAGATAAAAGACTAACTTTTTGACTGTGTTTGAAGTTTTTCATATTAAGTGGTCATATGCTTTTGACAGCTTGGGATGTGCTCTTTCCTGCAGCATCTCTGTAGCCTCTTTAATTTTTTCATGTGTTTTTGCCACTTTTTTCCTTGTGTATTGTGATTGTCCATACCAACAGAGTCGCTCCCCAAGATGTGCAGCATGCGTGCCTCAGCGATGGTCTCAAAGTTGGGTCCACTAACCATACAGTAGACACCCTCATGCACAAAATTAGAGTAGCCCAGCTCAGCAGTGATGTCCAAAACAAGTTTCCTCAGGTCTTTGCTGTATGCGTCAGACATGCAAGGAAACCGGATCCCAAATCTGAGGAAGAGATTGAAGAAAATGCACCATCTTTTCCATAAAATGGAAAACAAATTATCCAATACCGCCTCCCACTCTTTCACACTTTATTCTGCCATTTTATCTCCCTTATCTGCATACCGTTCATCATTGGGTCCACACAGAGGGTGCTGTCCAGCAAATCCTGGCAAGTTAATATGGTCTTTAATGACCATGATGTCTCCCACTTTGAAATCCTGACAGAGACCTCCAGAGGCATTTGTCACAGCAATGGTCTCCACACCCATCAGTTTGAAGATCCGCACGGGGAACGTGACCTGGAAAAATTCCCACAGAAAATACAAGCTGTTACTCACAGCACAGAACCTCTCTGACTAAACCATCAAATATGTCATTTTCACTTTTTTTCACACTCAGCCATTGCCTCTCAGGTTCAGACATATTTAAAGGGGTCATATGATGCGATTTCACGATGCAATGCAACGCGTAAAAAGACAGTATAAGTCATTATAATCCGTAATTATGTCCCCACTGGATGCAACAATGGCTTTTAATGTTTTTGTCTCGTCGCTCCGGCCAGGACAGGGCATCACAATATGGTGAGGGGCGTAACATTTCCGTCACACGGTTGAGGTATTCGGCCAATCACAACGCACTGGATAGCTGACCAATCAGAGCACACCTCGCTTTTCAGACCGATGAGCTTTGTAAAAATCGACGCGTTTCAGAAAGGCAGGGCATAGAGGAGAAACAATAATGTACAGTATGTGGAAAATAATGTGTTTTTTTAACCTTAAACCGCATAAACACATTTCATTACACCAAATACACAAAATAATGTTCTTTTTAGCAACATCATATGAACCCTTTAATGGAATATATGGAAGACAAAGATAATAATCAAATTACAGAAATAAAGCAAAACAAATATAACAAAACAGGAGACCAACACAGGGCCATTTCTAGGCACAGGCGAACTAGGCAGTCGCCTGGGCCACCACCATCTGGAGGGGGCGCCAACGAGCGTCCAAAAGCCCTGTTAAAGGGTTAGTTCAGTGTTTCCCAACCGGGGTGCCGTCTGTCGAGAGGTTCTTCCCTGCTGTACCGAATTTCGATACTTTTCAAAGTATCATATCGAAGTTAGAAATTCAAATATTGTGACAAAATTTATTTTGTAGGGTGCCACAAGTTTGTTAAAATTTCCAAAGGGCGCCGCGACTAAAAAAAGGTTGGGAAACCCTGGGTTAGTTAACCCAAAATTAACATTTTGTCATCATTTGCGCATTCTCAAGTTGTTCCAAACCCATATGAGATTCTTTGTTCTGCTGGCACAAAAGATATTTTGAAAAGTTTTGTCCAGGAATATTTTGAATAATCGTGTCATTATTCATTAATATACTGGAAATATTATTACAATTTAGATTTCGTTCACATAATGAATGAATGAATGTGGGTGTGTTTTATAAATTATTAAATATATTCATTTAATTGACTTACATTTATTTATTTAATGCCAGTAGGGATCTCAATTAGGGTGCCAAAATGGTCTTAAATGGCCCTGGACCAACATTTATTTATATATTTAGACAGTTGTTTGCAATTCAGTTATTATTTTTTTAATCAAATTTTTATTTGACTGGAAAGGGACCTCCTTTCATTTCAGAAGACCATGTGGATATGACAACATGCACAAGCCTAAATGTGCAATGGTATTCCACGGTGTCTCACAGTTTTAGGCAGGTATTAAATAAGCTTTAGTGATTCTAAATGGGATAAATATAGGATTGTAAAGCAGGGAGCCATTAAGGGAGGTGTCAGTGCAGGCAGGAGATGAATAATGAACTTGCGGGCTCAGTATAGCACAGCTCAATAGGGATGTCACAGTCTGTCAGCCTGCTCGAGCAACACACCCATTACAGCTATACACAGATGGGTCACCGAGGTGGACTGGCATTCTCAGGAAATACGCCCCAATTTGATACCCTCTAAATCAAGGCTGACTTCTTTGCAGAACTCTCAGAGATCAGATCACTTCAGTCTTTAACTCTCCTGAGAGAATTGGTCTAGGTGTTGCATTATAGGTCTATAGATGGTCCGTTGATTACCTGTCACCAGCAGCTTGATAAATGTGCACTATTATGGAGTAATGAAAATATGTCTATAAGACAATTTTGTATGTCTTGGCACTGTATCATGAATTGGCATATATTTCAATTTCATATAGACAAGAAGGAAGGAATTCACTAAGAATGAATTGCGCTCACTGATTGCATCTGTAGTCTTTTAGCAATAGATTCATTAAATGATGCAAATTAGATATGAGAATATTACAGAAATTCTATTATGCCTGATTTCTGCAAGCAATGTTAATTGTGCCAAAATAGTGCATAAATAAGTTGCAATCCCACAACTATAATAATCCTGCATAGAATAGAGGCACGTTTGTGCTAAAATGAATTTAATTTAAATACTCATTGCACATTAATCGTCTGTTTAAACTGAACAGGGTTTAGTGAACAATAAGCAAGAATATTTTGAAATTGTACATTATTAAATAAATAAATATGCACATTGTGTACACATTAAATATTGATGAGTTGAAATTATTTTATTTTTTATCTGTATAATTAAAATTGCACTGCATTTTTAGAACGAGACGCTGCAAAAGACATGAGACACGATTGTGACGTTAAAATATGTGTCTATCTAGCCCATGTTTACATAGAAAAACAATGCAAAAGCAGCAGAGTGGAATGCAAAAATGCATTTTGTGTGAACGTCCCCTTTACAGTTTAAACAAGCCTTCTAAATGCATCTGAACACCATAAAGCTGCTTTACTTGCTGCAGAGAAACGGAGGTCATTGAAAGGGCTAACCAAGCTCGACTGTCCAATTACCCTCCACAGCACATCTCTCCATAACAAAGAGATCACTTAAGCAAGCCATAATAACTGTTTGTGTTACCAAGGGCAAACGTGAAAGCAAGTTAAACTGTAAATGAGGGCACGGGGAGTTGGCACAGATTTGCACAGTGACTCACAGATATGAGTCAGCTAAAGGGAAATGAACAGTGGACTGAAGGTGCATTTACAAACCAGCTGTCACAGTTTGACTAAGGATTGAATAACCAGATTGGTCGAGCTCCTGCTTATTATATGAGGAACTTCAAAATTTCAGCTTTTGTGTTGCCCCCCAAAAAAACAAAAAACTAATTTTTTGAGTACAAAAAAACCATCCGTCCCCAATTGTCCGTCAATGTCCCAATTTGCATACTTATATAAGGCACTAACTGATCTGTTTACAACTAATTGATACTTTTGAGGAAGACAATACTTGTAGTAGCATCAGTGTTGTTATAGTTAGCTAAACCAAAATTATGAAAATCATTTTCAGCAATTGAAATAAAGCTGAAATAAAATAAAATGAAATGAAATATAAATATAAATATTATATGAAAATTAGAAATGTTTCCTTGGCAACTAACTACAATAATTAAGTACTAAAATTCCTAACAATAAATACATAAATTTTAATAAATAAAAATGACAAAAGCACATAACAAAACTGCTAAAGACTGAAAACTAAAAATAAAACTGAAAATATGAAAGTTAAAGCTAATTCAAATTATTAATAAATATATAAACAATACTAAAATGCATATTATTATTAACATCAAGCTAAATTCATAACCTTTACCTTTAGATTCACAGTTTAAAAAATTGCTTTGGCAGGTTCGTCTACACAATCCTTATCTTTTTTTTTTTATGCAAAGAGTAAATGAAAAACATATGTACCTGTCAGACAAATGTTAGGAAGTTGCACTAGCAATGCTAATGTCATGAGTGAAAATATACCAAAAAAATACTATTTTCAACATTTGCCTGTTAAGATCTGAAAATCACTAACTGTATTCTTGCATCCTATTTAGGACGGGTACTATGCAAAATGGGATGCAGTGTCAGTGTGTTGTATGTGCCACAGCTATTAAGACATTAAATACAAAATAGTGTTTTGAAAGGCTGGAGTTTGTTAATACAGGGGGCTGATGGATTTAATGCCCTAGCAGCATGTTGAAAAGCGAAGTGAAAAGCTCTTGGCTGGCTTTAGAGGGCATGGTGGCCATGACAACTGATTGTAATGCATTGTGTCATGTTGTCAGGGCTGCAATTACAGTGACAGTCCCACCCCAGGGCAAGAGGTTGTAGATTCCTCCGTAATTTAGTAAAAAGTGGCTCTCCGGCCCCATGTGCAGCAGATAAATTATTCCCCTGGACAGACTTTGATGGAGAGAAAGCCAAGAGCTCACATAATTCATGCTGCTTAGTTGAACTCTGGGGTAAATTAACATGGAAAACTGGTAAATTAACCAAGACTTTCAACCGATTTGAAAATGTATTCACAATTGATATCATAATTTTAATTGTTAGCATGTTAATGCATTCAGTTCCTTTTTAAAGGAAAACAAAACTTTTATCTGCTGCAAATAAGGTTCATAGTTGGTTACAATGGATTACAAGTGTAAACTGAATGTTGTCAATGAACTGCTTTGATATGAGAATGACAGCAGCAGAGTGCAGATAATTTCTTCTTCGCACCTGCATTCTCAGCATTCATCCTGTGGCTTCTGATTGTGACAGATAAAGTTAATGGCCCATACAGGAGATAACAGCTCCTTTCTGTTTTTACAAATAGGAGCTGTTTACAAGAAGTTCAATTGTCATTGGGGTGATTCAAAGAGAAACCAAGGCCACTACTTGAAACACACCACAATGCTTTGATACAATACACAAGACGTTGATGCCCCAAAATGGGGTTTGTGAAATAGATTTTACTTCAAGTAAAGAAGCCACAGAGGTTGTAAGCATTATAAATGGATGCATCTAAGAAGCCTATTGTAAAGCAAGATAAAGTTTAATCAGTTGACAAAAAATAAAATAAAATAGTACCTATAACAGAGGCATCAAACCGTTTATTTGAGCTCACCTTACACAATGAGTAACCCTCGTAGAGATGGAACCTTCCTTGCATGAATACACATGACTTGCCTTTGATTTGACCAAACACCAGGCACCCTTCATGACCAGGAACTATGCATAAAAAGACAAACATACGAGTAAAAACACATTAAAAAAATTGTATATAGTATGTTTTATATACAATTTTATTGCAGTTATATAATATTTATATTATGAAATACATACAAATTGTAATTCAAGTATGTGATTAAGTCCTAAGATACCACCTTGAGGTGAGAATTTCATGAGTAACACAAATAGCAAGTAATACCATTTAGTCTGTAAATATTTCCCCGTGACATTTTTATATTGATTTGCTCTAACATCATGTGATGTATGAAGCAGTTTGATGATCAAATGCACTGTATTGGGCTCTAAAGCTGTCTTTACCTGATTAAGAACCTCCTGCTGTAAAGCATTTAGTCTTTGCTGTCTCCCTAATATATTGCGTCTTCCTAAGGGATTATTCATCTAATGCATAACCTCTCTGTAATGAGCAAATAAAGGGTCAGATGTTGCCATTGATAACAGAAGCCATCTAATCCTTTTCTATAATGTCACGTTAACTGACTAATGACTGATCCCAAGTCTCAGAGATCCTGCTGGCTTGGCTGTATTTCAAAGTTCATCGATTTGCATTTGCATGTTCACTTTGCTCATTCAACATCAGAAAAGTTGATATCTGCTGCTTAGGGATGACTGCTGATGTCATCAAGGATGATGGCATTAGTGTGACTGATTGTGTATCATTAGTGTTCGAACAAATGGAGCAAACATTGTTTTCTAAAATTATGAGCAAATAGGAGGCTGCAGTTTTTTTGTGGCTTCAGGAACTTACTTTGACATGGGAACAAGCCGACTGAGTCAAGTGAATTGGAGCTTATGTAAATATAACCTTGAATTTTGGCTGATGAGATGTGTTTGGCCCTAAAACCTGCAGCGTAATGAGGTTCTGCTGGAATAATAGCTTGTTTTTCCAGGGGCCGATTCCTCTTTTCTTGCACGAGCATTGACGAATGACTCTGAGAAAAAAAACTCACTCAGAGAGGTAGGTTATTACACTCACCGTGAAATGTATTTCCTGCAACATTGTAAAAATGAATGAGCAAATGAACGTTTCAGTGCATGCCGCCTGGTCAGATTGTCATGCAATTTAGCAAAAAAAAAGAAAAAGGAGTGTAATGAGAAAAGTTCTGAGAGAAATTTAGGGTTGCTTAAAATCTTCTTAAGAAGATCTTCTTAGGGTTGCTTAAGATCTATCTATCTATCTATCTATCTATCTGTCTGTCTGTCTGTCTGTCTATCTAATATATTATATATAATTATAATATACATATAATTATATACAAAAATGATATGCACTTTAAATAATATTATTAACCATGTATACATATTAATATTATAACTGTATAATCACGTTAAAATGCTTTTTTTTTTTTACCTGTAGCAGTTACTCATAAGTATATTGTCTATTCTGTACATCTTTAAACTGTCTTAAACTGTCACTACATGATTGAATTTGTTGATAGACCACAGTCCCAAGAATTTAACACTTTTTACATCTATCTGTATGGTGTGGTGACACTAAAGTGATTTGATTTTGATTTGACACTTGGTGATTTATATGACTGATGCAATGGGCAATGTGAAGAATTTATTATTTAAAAAATGAGCACAGAGCATCCATAGTTCTCATTATTCAACCTGTCAGTCATTCCTCTGTTGGTCTCCATAAACCAGCAAATTTAAATTATGAAGTGGATTAGAGAAAGAATGACAACACGAATGGATTCTAAGACCCTTATTATACTTTCCCTTAATTACAAGTGCTCTTATTCTTCAGCCATCATTCAAGTACACACACACCTGCTACAGGTAGTGCAAATATCATGTGATGCATCTGAACGCTTCTCAGATTATTCATCTCGCCATATACATTTTTAAACCTGATCCAAGATATCATAGTATGAACTCCCTGTGGCAGATATTAGGGGCTATTTTTGCTCCAGTCATGATATTTTATTCATAGGCAGTAGTTATTCATTTTATAGCTCACATTAGCAGTAGCTGGGCATAACTGGTTAACCATACAATACAATGAGGGACAGAATGAAAACCTCTGTGCTTTTAGATTCGCTCCCTGCATTAGCAACAACTCCCATATCTGTGTAGTGGCTGTTTTATAGACTCAACATGCTGACTGAAATGACCACACTGTGTAAATTAACAAAAAACATCCACCAACTCAATCCTTTGCTTTATTTCTGCATATGCCAAATAATATGTTATGTTACAAAAACATAATGTTTCTGTAGCTTGTTTCTTAAGAAAGAAAGAAAGAGAGAAAGATAGAGAATTGGTGTAAACTGTTCCTTCAGTTCGGCTCTGATACATTTCCATGAATCTGTTACCTGTGCTCACTGGGAAATTGGGAATGTCCTCATAGCGGAAGGTCTGTTTATTTGAGACACTGTCTGCGAGAAGTCCCAGTCCAGAGCCGCACACGATAGCTATCTTTGGCCTGTGTCTCGTCCTGCTCAGCAGCCATTCTGTAGTCAGTTTGCAGTCATCAAAGGAACAGCAGCTGAGTCAGGAGAAAGAAAGAAAGAATGATGGCCAGATACATTAGAACAGGTCACACTGATAACTGCTCAAATTATGTCAGATAAGATGCTAAGTGGCAATATACAATCTTCTGATTATTAGTCAGTGCTTACAATGAGAAACATGACAATCTTTCAAATTGCAAATTCAACATCACAATAAATTCAAAGCATCAAGATAATTATTAACTGGTTTATTTTTAAATGTTAAAACAAAAATAATATATTCATATTGTATTCATATTATATTTAATTTGTGCAATGCCAGATCATTTGAAAACATGAATTAATTTTTTGTTGTTGTTTTTAGAATAAATATATAAATATTCATTAGAACAAGATAAAAAATATAATTTTACATTAAAAGCATTGAATACTATTAAGATCTTATGAATTAAGTTTGTTTCATGCTCCTTAAGCATATATTTCTTTTCCATAAGCATAAATCTGACAAAATTGAATTGAGGTTTATGTTTCTTTTATTGTCTTTAAGTATAATAAAAATAAGAATTTAAATAAATGATTTTTTTTTTTTACTGGAAAACAAGAAAAATACAGATTAATAATAATAATAATAATTGTTATTATTATTTTATAAAAAAAATTGGAATATGTTCTGTGATCAGATATCAGTACACAATACAGAAATACAGAACAGACCTTCACATTAATATAAGAACAATCAAGCTCTACTTTGACAGCTCACGTCTCAACAACTGCACTGTAGAAGACCACATCATTTTTATTATGTCTCAAGATTTCGGGAGTCAGTTATGAAAATCTAATGCCATATAAATCACACAGGAAATGAACTAATATGAATGAAATCACAGAGACTCTCTTGATATTTGAAAATTGGCTGGTAGCAAAAATCTGAAAATATAAACCTGACATAATGTTGGTTGAATAGATAAAGCTGAATAGGTAAAAGCTTAGAAGACAGTGAAAATGCAAATAGTGGACACATTCAGAGTTTCTGAATGGAGTTTTGAAGAGTCCAAAATGCAAATTTACAGCATGCAGTTTTCAAGGCTCCATTTAATTTGCATCTCATTTAAAGATAATTCTGCTCCATACAGTGATTCAGCTGTGTTTGGTAGGCCTGATATATTTTTATTGACCTTTATAGATTTGATTAAATGCATAAGAGATCATACTCTAAGACAACAGCTGTGAATTAAAATTACATTATCTACTGACTCTTTTAGCCAGTAAACAGTAGATGTAAATACATTTTCATCTATAAAGATTTTAATAATAATTGCTTTATACATTGTCTGATATGTAAATTATATAAATGACATAAAACTAAAATTTACCATGAGTTTTCCTTGGTGTGCATGATCTCAGTCACAGGTAGTCACAGGCTGACAGCACCTGGAAAACGTGTGTACTTGTCCTATCGGAACAGATAAGAGAGAGAGACAGAATAACCACTCAAAGGACTTTAAGGTCTTGACTCATTGGCTGCATAGTGGGAAATCTCCATATCCTTTCCAAGAAATTATATGACTCTGTCCCCTGATAAACGTTATCTTCAGACACACACACACAAGAAATAAGAACAAATTTTCCAGTAAATTTTAATTTTTGGGTGAACTTTCAGACCCTTAAAATATCCTAAAATAGATCATACATTTTTGCTAAATCAATGGAATTAGATTATCCATTTTAAATCAATAGAATAGAATTTTCCCAGTGAATTGTCTAAAACCATTTGTCGGATATTTTGCTTTGTAGAAGCTGTACAATGACCTTAGCTTGAAAAAATAATGAAAACACATGGTCTGCCCACACCAGTCAATAAGACTGTCAGAAGGGGCAGAGTGACTTATACTATGGTAAATAGAAAACACTTTTACATGTTTGTGCACTTTGCTGAGCTGTGAGATTACTGAATACATAATAGCTTAGAGCTTCAGGGTCCATTATAATTCTCCAAAGCCTTTATACTGTGGCTTGGAAAAGGATTGGCAGACTCGGTATTGGAGTGGTGTGACTCGAAATCTAAATACCCTGATGCATTTACAGCATTGGCTGAGACATCATTTCTACACCGAGATATTGAGCTGATAACTTACTGTAATACAGAAAATAACCTAATCTGAACATTATATCAGAAACCACAATTAAGCAAAATACCTAACTTGTTTTTCACAAAAATTACTAAATAATTACTGTTTTTGTAAATGTATTTACAGCTTTTGTTGATTGAAACAAGCTCAGTATCAGGGCTCTTTTTTTGTGCCAGGGGTTCAAGGTAGTTCCTGTCAATGAGTAACATACCCACATGTTATTATGTAACAGTTATATGATGTCCACATCACACAAAGCATAGACTGACCAACAGGGACAGAAAAGTGATTACTCATTCATTCTACTTCACTGACTTAAGATGGTTCAAAGATTATTTTGCTCTTTGTCAAGCATATTTCTAGCTGAAAACAAACATGGGGATACACAGCTCATGATTAACCAAAAGAAAACTGAACAGATTTGTGTGAGTGTACCATACACACATACACTAACTATTAACATAACTGTTAATAGTTCACATTGCCCATTGCATCAGTCATATAAATCACCAAGTGTCAAATCAAAATCAAATCACTTTAGTGTCACCACACCATACAGATAGATGTAAAAAGTGTTAAATTCTTGGGACTGTGGTCTATCAACAAATTCAATCATGTAGTGACAGTTTAAGACAGTTTAAAGATGTACAGAATAGACAATATACTTATGAGTAACTGCTACAGGTAAAAAAAAAAGATGCATTTTAACGTGATTATACAGTTATAATATTAATATGTTACACTGTTAATAATATTATTTAAAGTGCATATCATTTTTGTATATAATTATATGTATATTATAATTATATATAATATATTAGACAGACAGACAGACAGACAGATAGACAGATAGATAGACAGATCTTAAGCAACCCTAAGATCTTCTTAAGAAGATTTTAAGCAACCCTAAATTTCTCTCTGAACTTTTCTCATTACACTCCTTTTTCTTTTCTTTTTTTTGCTAAATTGCATGACAATCTGACCAGGCGGCATGCACTGAAATGTTCATTTGCTCATTCATTTTTACAATGTTATTAACATAAGGCCAACTCACAATCAAGTGTAATGTCAGTACATGTAAATAGCTCAATACGTGAATTTTTGATTCCACAAAAATGTTAAGCAGCACTGTTTTCAACCTTGATGATAATAATAAGATATGTTTCTTTAGCACCAAATCAGCATGTTAAAATTATTTCTTAAGGATTACGTGACACTGATGATTGGAATAATTGCCATTACAGAAATAGATTACATTTTAAAATATATTAAAATACTATTGAAGCATATCTCCACCATGGAATAAAAAAAATAATAATAATATTGGCAACTTTTCATCTTACAATTCAGAATTGTGAGATATACACTCATAATTATGAGTTTCTAACCAAAAAAAAATGTCATAATTGTGTGACACAACTTTGAAATTACTTTTATTTCATGGTGGAAAAAGACAACTGTTGGATGTAAACAGAATTAAGAGGAAAAAAAGCAGAATTGCAAGATGTAAACTCAGAATCCAGAAGCCCCAATTACCTTTTTTATATTTTTATTCCATGGCAGAAATAAGCTTCCATAAAATAGGTAACAGTTGTTTTAAATGTAAATAATATTTCAATATTTTCAACAAATGTATTGGTGAGCATAAGAATATCTGTCTATTGATTGATATGGTTAGATTTGTCAAGCCAACACAATCTGACACCCTCTGTGCTGCTATTTGACTGGCATTGTGTTTTGATAAGTTTTCATTTGACGAGGCCCTGCGGGGAGGATGGGTGAGACTGGCCGTGACTGTTTGTCCAGACATACAGTCTGCCAGCTGTCTCACCAACATGTGCTGGCAGCGCAGTGGGGTCCCTTCAGTTAGCAAACAAGCTTCTCCCAACCCAACAGGAGAGGGGAGTGTGAGCGTGAAGTCAAGGTAAATGAACGACAGTGCATGTTATGTGTTGCACGTGTTTGCATCTGTTTGATACCAAACATGCCATCTGTTCACTCATCACCACATAGCTGGTTAGTTGATGCTGGAAGTGAAAAAGGAATAATGATCTTTAAAAAAGCATCATATGACCCCTTTAAGTAACTTGACACTGTCGATTAGAATGCAACAATATAAAGTCACTCCAAACACAACTAAACAATACTTGAATAAATATGAATTTCAAAACACAATTTCACCCAACACTAACTTTCCTCCATGAAAGTGACACTTCTACCCTGCTGTGAACCACATTATTTCTATAAGATTTCAATGCATGCTCTTTAATAACAATAAATTAGATTATACACTCTGCAAGTAAAATTAAATCTCTTTTGAACATCACATAATATTGTGCTACATGTGTGCATTAATTTGTGCTCACAGAAGAAAGTAATACTGGTTTGGAACAACATGAGCTTGAATAACTGATGACAGAACTTGTTGACGTGAATTATTCCTTTAAAGCTCATAATCTGAATGTGAAAGACTAAGGGCATTTGGTAGGTTTGGTTCAATTAAAACAAGCTCTGGTGCGATTGCTCTGTTAGTACATTTCATTTGAATAAGTGTGAACGCTGCCATTTGAATCTTGGTGTACACTAAACAAGCGGTCTGCTTCCAACTGAACTCCAGTGCGATTTGTCTGATATATGAACACAACATAGACCACAGACATCTAAAACCAAAGACAGGACATGATGGCAGACAAAATGCTCAAGCATACATGGTTTAATTCGGTACAAAAGAGTTGCTGGTAGCCGTTGACTTCCATTATAGTTTTTTCCATACATTCTTAATATATTCTTTTGTGTTTAACAGAAGAAGGTTTGGAACAATTGAGGATGAGTAAATGATGACAGAATTTTTAGTACTGGGTGAACTGTCCCTTTAAGATGCTACATTGATCAGGTAACATACCATGTATCATACCTCCATCCTTTCAGAACCATATGGCTTTTAAAAGGCTCCCTTCATTATCTCACCTATAACAACTTCATAATGCATCTGAGCTGGTCCAATTGCATGGAGTTTGCTGACTGACATCAGCACAATGGACTTAGATCAACCTATAATTAATCATGTGCCCTTTGTCTTTTTTGAGGGCAAAGGTTAATGATTCATCAAGTCTATATCCGCTGGGCAGCCCTGGCTGATGTCAAGTCTGAAACTGAAGACTGTCCTTGCTGATTTTTCCACAAAAAAAGCAATTTGTTACTTAAGATGACTAGACTAATAATGACATCAGTTTCCTAAGTGTCAATACTATCTTACATTTGAATAAATCTCTGATCATTGTGGAATTTTTCCTCCATTCCTCCTTCCTCCATCTCTCCTCAGAATGCAGTGCTTATTTAACTGCGAAAATATTGACTTGTTTCTCTGGGGGGCATTTTAAATCAATAATATTTCAGCTTTTCACTCACATTGTACTTGGGTCTTCTGCCAGTATAGCGCATCCTGAAATCAAGGCCACACTGTGGGCACATGTAAAATCAGATATTGCATATCCAGCCCAAGAGCTCAGAATAAAAAACAAATATAAGTAAAAGTCAGATTTCCTTTGTTGTCAACAGATTAATCATCATAGTCCCAAGAAGTTTCTGTTCCAATGAACTCGACAAATCAGACTCAATTACATTTCAATAGAACAACTGCTGATGCAAACGGGGAAGCACATATCCAGATCCATAATTCTGTGCATCACATCAGCAATTTCTCAGCTGAGTGCTCAGGAATAATCATGTATTAATAATGATCTTACAACACAGCCATTGTGAGGCTGTACATGATTCTGATATTATTTATTACTCATTTAAAAATGTGGAAATTTTCTATAGACCTTACTCAATTTCTGACACCAATGAAAAAGAGGCTGTGAGGGATAAAAATACAGTGTTTTCAATGGATTATACTGTTGTTTAACAACACACCGATTGTTCAGCTGAAGAAACGTCTTTCAGAAAATAAGTTTCATTAGACAGGAGCTCCACAAAGAAGTTTAAAAGTTGTGAGTTGTGAAAATTATGTGCCATTTGTAAAGACCAAAAGATTTTCCCCACATCTTTGTTTTCACCCGCATAAAACTCAAGATGGCGTCTAACCTGATTAAGATCTATTAATCAACAAAAAACATTAATAAATGCATGGAACCATGTTTTAACTTTACATTTACATCATAAATTAGATTGAAAATATCCTGTACCTGTCTCAAATATTGCAATCTACTGCTAGGCTATATGTTGGTGTCATATTTAAAGGGGTCATATGACGTTGCTAAAAAGAACATTATTTTGTGTATTTGGTGTAATGAAATGTGTTTATGTGGTTTAAGGTTAAAAAAACACATTATTTTCCAGATACTGTACATTGTTTTTCCTCTATGCCCCGC